CTCCAACACATCCATGTCCTTCCTATGTTGGGGGCTCCAGAGCTGGACGCAGGACTCCAGGTGGGGTCTGACGAGAGCGGAGTAAAGGGGCAGAATCCCCTCCCTCGCCCTGCTGGCCACGCTGCTCTTGATTTGTTTGCAGATGGATTAAAAGTTTGCAAATGGATTAAAGTGCTGCTTCAGTAGAATACTGGAGATTTTGCTGGAAGTTTTATACTAAGATTTAAAAAGAAAAAAACAACCCACAAAAAACCCAAACAACACCCAAGACACCAAAAAACCCACTCCCAAAATCTTGGCTTAAGTTCCCCTGCTCTCTTGATGGTCACCCTTGCAGAGAACTAACATCTCTGGAAGCTTATTTGGAGGACGCAAACTTTGGCTTGCTCACATCTAACTGCTTTTATCTGTACCTGCAGTGTGTGATGGCTACTATAGGTTATACAGCTTTTCTCCCCTGCCAGTGGGAGACTGCAAATTCCAGCTGCAGGGAGGTTAGAAGGAAGCAACGGGAGGTGATATATTCTTGAGCAACTTCAGTTGTTTCCTAAACAATTTGCCTACAGTTTAAGAGTATTTAAACATATTGAAATGAGGCAGGTTGAGATGTTCCAGTTCCTGCCCATCTTGCTGGTCCCCTCCAGGTGAAGGTGGCATGGGGTAGGAAAAACCTTGTCCATTGAGTGTGAGTTAGGCTTTGTCCAGCCCAGCTCTGTCATTGATCTTACAAGAGTAGAAAGTGACTGTTACGACGATGGTTGTTTTAAAACAACAAACAGAATCCTGCCGAAGCAGGGTCACCTACAGCAGGCTGCACAGGACCTTGTCCAGGCGGGTCTTGAATATCTCCAGAGAAGGAGACTCCACAACCTCCCTGGGCAGCCTGTTCCAGTGCTCCGTCACCCTCAGAGGGAAGAAGTTCCTCCTCATGTTCAGACGGAACTTCCTGTGCCTCAGTTTGTGCCCATTGCCCCTTGTCCTGTCACTGGGCACCACTGAAAAGAGCTTGGCCCCATCCTCCTGACACCCACCCTTCAGATATTTGTAGGCATTTATAAGGTCCCCTCGCAGCCTTCTCTTCTTCAGGCTGAACAAGCCCAGTTCCCTCAACCTCTCCTCGTAGTGGAGATGCTCCAGTCCCCTCACCATCCTTGTAGCCCTCCGCTGGACTCTCTCCAGTAGCTCTTCATCCTTCTTGAACTGGGGAGCCCAGAACTGGACACAGTACTCCAGATGAGGCCTCACCAGGGTAGTGTAGAGGGGAAGGAGAACCTCCCTTGTCCTGCTGGCCACACTCTTCTTGATGCACCCCAGGATCCCATTGGCCTTCTTGGCAGCCAGGGCACACTGCTGGCTCATGGTTAACCTGTCGTCCACCAGGACACCCAGGTCCCTCTCTGCTCTCCAGCAGGTCCACCCCAAGCCTGTACTGGTGCATGAGGTTGTTCCTCCCCAGGTGCAGGACCCTGCACTTGCCCTTGTTGAACCTCATCAGGTTCCTCTCTGCCCAGCTTTCCAGCCTATCCAGGTCACGCTGAATGGCAGCACAGCCTTCTGGTGTATCTACCACACCTCCCAGTTTGGTGTCGTCAGCAAACTTGCTGAGGGTACATTCTAACTCTTCATCCAGGTCGTTGATGAAGAAGTTAAACAAGACTGGGCCCAGTACTGACCCCTGAGGGACACCACTTGTCACCAGCCTCCAACTAGACTCAGCGCCGCTGATGACAACCCTCTGAGTTCTGCCATTCAGCCAGTTCTCTATCCACTTCACCGACCACTCATCCAGCCCACACTTCCTCAGCTTCCCTAGGAGGATATCATGGGAGACTGTGTCGAAAGCCTTGCTGAAGTCAAGGTAGATAACATCCACGGCTCTCCCTTCGTCTACCCAGCCAGTCATGTCATCATAGAAAGCTATCAGGTTGGTCAGGCATGATTTCCCCTTGGTGAATCCATGCTGACTACTCCTGATAACCTTCTTTTCTTCCACTTGCTTGATGATGGCCTCCAGGATAAGCTGCTCCATCACCTTTCCCGGGATGGAGGTGAGGCTGACCGGCCTGTAGTTCCCTGGGTCCTCCTTCTTGCCCTTTTTGAAGATTGGAGTGACGTTGGCCTTTCTCCAGTCCTCGGGCACCTCTCCTGTCCTCCAGGACCTCTCAAAGGTCTCTTGAGCCTCGTATTACTTGTCTTTTAAGGCAAATGAGAGTACAAGGTGGTCTGATACCTGGCTGGAATGCTACTATACACACAGTTCATGTCTATCTCTGTTGTGAAATGAGGCTCTTGACACGGTTTGGTGTAGTTTGTGATTTAACCTGGCCAAGCTGAGTCACAGAGCAGCTGCAGCGTGGCAAATGGCTGCGTGGAAAAGGCTTCGCCTGTGTCGCCGTGGCTGTCGGGTGCGCGTGCACGTGCTGCAGTGACGCCTTCTGACTCCCGAACACGGAACAGCCAAGCAAACGCACCAGTCGCGAGCTGCACCGTCGCTGGGGTGGGTAATGGTGTTTTTAACAGCATGTGAACCTGCTTATACAAAAAGGTACGGTGAATGTCTTGTCAAAGGAAGGGTGAAGTTAACGGAGTGATGAGGACTGCAGGCATTGTGGGCAGATGGTGAACAAGCCTCTCAGCAATGATGCTCTTCAATCTTGCCTTATGCTACCATGATACTACAGCAGGGACTGCCGTGTGTGTGACAGATATGGAGGGTGTGACATTGAGGAGAAGCACAGCGAGATGTACCTTAAAGCACATAGTTACCTTGTTTTAAGAGCAAGAAGAGCTGCCTTGTATATAATAATTTGTTGTAGGGGTTGTCAGACCGGTTACTTTTGTTCACTTAGTTCAACTAAAATTTCTGAATGGCTTGGTAGCAACTGGAACAATCAAATCATTTCAATTTTTGTCTCGAATCGTGATGTTTCAGAGTAAAACTGATGCTCGTGAATGATACGGGAGCCAACCTTTTTCATAAAAAATGTGTCTGCTAGTGGCTTCGCAATTGTAAAGTCAAATAACTGCTCTTTTGCTTGTAGGAAGCTTAATTGCACAGTATGGATCTGTTGGACAGAGTAAAACTCCTTCTGAAATCATTTTTAAATCGCTTGCTGAAAACTTGAGCTGAAATTTGTCCCTTGAATCTGTGTTTTTTTTCTTCTTTTAGTGGGGAAGACTTCCTTGATCACCAGGTTCATGTATGACAGCTTTGACAACACCTACCAGGTAAATTGATCCACGTTACTGTCTTCTTTAAGGCCCCTCTGTTGCCACGTCTTCCGTTGCGGGAAGAATCTATTTGATTGCAGTGGATAAAAGTTGGTTTGCTGACCAAATTCTTCACTATAAAATCTTCAAGCTTTATATTTTAATAACGTTTCAGAATGGCATTTCAGTGGTGGAGTCTGCTGGAGTAGCTTATCTGCTGCTTGCAGCACGGTGAGCTGTGGTTCGACAGGGTGGGCTGCTTAGGTGTACCTGGGTAATAGCACTAAAGTCTACTGGGTTTTGGGTTTTTTTCACCTTTTGCTGCCAGACCATCACAGATCTAATGTCTCTGTGGGGAAAATGTAACAGGTACCTGGCTCTCTTGAAAAAAAGCAAAGCTGAGCTGCAAGAGGTTCTGCAGTGGGGTGAGCAAGGACTTGCGGAGTAGAAAGTGGTGGACTGTAAGGCCGAGTCTGCTTTAGGATGTTATTTTGTGCTACCTGCTGGAACAAAGGCCACAAAACGGGTTGTTATGCACGTCCCTGTCCCATGGCTGCTTATTTGTGCTTATTTATTATTTAAACAAGGTTGGGTTGGTTGAGGCTGAAGCAGTGGTTGTCTTTTATTCCAGTCAGCCCTGCGGCCCCCTCACTGCTTAGTGTTTGGTGACAGGGCAGTTCAAGCTGACGCAAGCTAGCTTTTCTGAATTCTGGGAGAGGCATTGTTGCCAACTCCCAGAATTCAGGATGAGCTTGAAAAGGTGGCAAGCTATAAAATTACTTTAGTTTCATAAAGTGTGTCTTCTCCAAGCAGGACGTGTTTCATGACTTGGTTATGTTCTGAATACACTAAGCAAAGAAAAATCTGTTCCCTGGTGAACGTGAAGGGTTTTTTAGGGGGTGGTAGGAAGAGGTAATGGGAAAAAAGTAAGAGAAACGCTGTGACTTTCTGTTACATAGTGTCTATCCAAGTGTCTCGTTTAAATTTCTTTACCACTTAATGATTTCTTTCCTGCCTTTTCAGCGATTCCTTGTTGCTGCTGCTAGGCAAGTTGAGTGGAATGAGAAGCAGATTCTCACTTAACTACAGGAGAAGCAGAACTTCTATGGTGTAGGAGGGCTAGAGTACACATCATTGCTCCCAAGGGAGCAAACATCCTTTCAGATTCTACCCACTGTAATTACATGGACATGTGAATGCAGTTGTCTTATTTAATCTGTTTTTTTTTTCCCCACAGTATTTTTCTTTCAGGTCTGCTCCTTTTCTCTACGGAGCCTGCGTCCTAGTTCTTTCTCGAAGAGGTTTGACCCTCTGTGTTTTATGATAATGTAGTTTTCTCTGTGGGAAGCTGGTCTGACATAATATGCTAAATGATTGCAAAATGAATGAGTGGGACTTCAACCACCAAGAAATCTTAAGGGCTTGTAAGATAGCTTCAATGTACCTGTCACTGATGCGTCCCTGGTTTGGGTGTTAATGTGCTTGGTATAGCGTCATTCATCCAAAGACCGGCATATTTTACTGAAGTCACGATGGAGGTGGGGCCATACGTCCTATTTTGCGATAGCTGGAAGAAAGAATGAGTCATAAAAGCTCCAGTAATTTGGCCAAAATCACACCACATGTTAGCGTCAAACCAGAATATAATTGTCTCGATGCCCAGGATTATGTAGAGACCTTTCAAAGCCAAGTACTTGAGTGATAATGCAGATCAAACTATGTGCGTGGTTCACTGTAGCTCTAGGTTAGTTGATGGACGATTTGCTCGTTCTGGACATTTCTGATCAATTTTGAATGTGTCTTTTCGGAAAGCTGCCACAACCTATCATTTGAACAAGGTTTTTTGTGTTCAGTAGGTAAAAATAGAAAGCTGCTGTTTAATAAAATCTGTGCTGTGCATTAATGTTTTCTTTTGCTTGCTGCTAGAGAAGAGGAATTCAGCTGTTGCCCGTAGCTTATTAATAGGCTGTTTTCATGAAAGCGGCTTTTGTGAATCAAACAAGAACTCTCTGTACTGTGTCAAGGAAACCCAAACACCTGAAATAAAATTGTGCCGTTGGTGGTGTGTATTTTACCAGGAGTGATTCCTCTCCATGGACACACCGGGAGAGATTTTTCTTGTTCTGTGGCACCTTGTGTGATGTAGAATGAAAGACCAGTGTTGGCAAGCACATTGATTCTGTGTTGTGCAAGAGGGGAGTTGTAGGCCATGCTGCCCTTTAGCTTCAGGCTCTCGGAGGAGGAGAGAGGGAGGACAGTGTTGAGTTGAGACACTGGTCTGTGACTTGAAAAATATTTCAGATTTTTGCTTAGCCTCAAGCTTCCTTGCATAGTCTTGGGTAATTGTGTTTTAGCAAGTGTAGTCTATAAAATGGGTAACAGCAGTTCCTGCTTAGACAGTAGTGTTGTGAGGACAGATGGATTAAAAAGTGTTCTCATACGCGGCCCTGTCCGTAGTGTGGCCCTCTTGAGCTTTTTTTTGTTCTGCTTGTCTTCTTTAAACTTGCAGTCGGCCCTTGCGGCACCTCCCATCGTGTTCAGAGCGTGCCTGGTTCCTGCTTGTTCCGTGTGGCGCACAGCATTTCACAAGCGGGTTCAACCTGCCTACACCTTAATTAGGGTAATTAGTTTAGTTTCGTGTCCATGTATTTTTCCCCAGCAGTAAGCAGACATTTCCTCTACTCGTACATCACAGAGCTCTGCTTTACCATTGACCTGTCAAGATCCCCCAAGTTTTTTTTTCTCTTTCAGTCAGAACTGTGACAAAATGCCTCTTTGCAGATTACCTATTTTAGTGAAAGTCTGGGAAATATAGAGTGCGTGAATCCGCTCCTTGATACGGCCTCTCCTCTGTACCATGGGGTGGTCAGAACAACACAGGTGGACAGATAGATTTGGCTCTAAAGCCAACTGTGCCCTGGGCTGCATCAAGAGAATCATGGCCAGCAGGGCGAGGGAGGGGATTCTGCCCCTCTACTCTGCTCTCGTCAGACCCCACCTGGAGTCCTGTGTCCAGCTCTGGAGCCCCCAACATAGCAAGGACATGGATGTGTTGGAGCGGGTCCAGAGGAGGGCCATGAAGATGATCAGAGGGCTGGAGTACCTCTGCTACGAGGACAGGCTG